TTAGCAGGTGAGTGTTTTAAAGACACAATGTTTTCTGTCGGTCCACTTGTAGTTTCCGCCTGGTTCCCTTCCTAACCGAGCTGAGGGCGGTGATGGACTGGGTCTGGACGGACACCACCCTGTCTCTGTCTTCCTGGATCTGTGTGGAGGATATTTACGCCCACTGCTTTGTCTTAAAGTGCTGGAGGGAGTCTGAGAAGGTAAAAGTGTCTTCTACCTGCAGCCTCACAGTACATTTGTGTACCTGTGTGTACTTGTATTCGAATGGAACTGCAGCCTCACCGTATATTTGTGTACCTGTGTGTACTTGTGCTCAGAGGTACCCGCAGCCTCGTGGGCAGAAGAAGAAGCGGGTGGTGAAGTACGGGATGGGCGGTCTGATCGTCCTCCTGCTGATCTGTATTGTCTGGTTTCCACTGCTCTTCATGTCTCTCATCAAATCTGTGGCCGGAGTGGTGAACCGGCCACTCGACGTCTCTCTGACCATCACACTGGGAGGCTTCCAGGTAAACACACCTGTGCTGACACACACTTGCACTTTCAGACAGCAGCTGCACTGAAAGACTCACCGCTGTTGTTGTTGTTGTTGTTGTTGTTGGCAGCCGATCTTTACGATGAGCGCGCAGCAGAATCAGCTCAGAGATCTGACTGAGGAGGACTTCAGCTCCTTCATCAGCTCCTACAGCTACACACCTGTGAGTTTCCTGCAGCACACACACACTCTGTGGTGGTATTTGTGGTTGTAACGCCATGGCCTGCATTTCCCAGAGTGCCCTGCAGTTCCTGGAGGCGTATGGCCGCGAGGACGTGACGGTGGCGGAGCTGCAGGGCAGCAGCAACTCTCTGTGGACCATCAGCCCCCCCAGCAGGCAGTACCTGAGCCAGGTGCTCAGCCTGGACCACTTCCCCCTGACTGTGTCCTGGACGGTCCAGAGGTCAGTGAGGCCCTCCTGATCAATAATCAATAACTGATCAGTCATCAATCAGTTATCAACAATCAAAAATCAATCAGTTAACACTCAATAATCAGTCATTAATTGGCTATCAATAATCAATCAGCTGTCCACTGGACCCGATACCATCCAACCTCTTACAAACCACTTCCTCAGTACTTGATCCTGCAGCAACACACATCATCACCTCCTCACTTGCTACAGGTGTGTTTCCTGCTGCATTAACCAGCCCGAGTCGCTCCAATAACCATAAACCTGCACTCGACCCGGCCCAGGTTGAAAGCTACAGACCGGTTTCACTCCTGCCCTTCCTGTCTAAAATTCTTGAGTGAACTGTCTTCAAGTCTCTGCTTTCCTCTGTGACAACACCCGGTATGACCCGTATCAGTCTGGTTCTAAACGGGGTCACTCTACCAGACTGCACTCCTCTCTGTAACAGAACCACTGGGTTCTGCTGGAGCTGCTGGACAGTCTTCAGCTCTGTTGCTGTTAGATCTGTCAGCTGCCTTTGACACGGTGACCCACCACATCCTCCTCTCCACACTCCCTGAGCTGGACATCTCAGGATCTGCCCTCCGCTGGTTCATGTCCTACCTCTCAGGAGATACTTCAGAGTGACCTGGAGGGGAGAAGTGTCAGAACCACACAACCTGTCCACAGGGGTTCCTCAGGGGTCAGTGCTCGGTCCCCTTCTCTTCTCAGCATACACAACCTCACTCAATAATCCAGGCCCGTGGTTTCTCATACTGTTGCTATGCTGATGATACCCAGCTCTTCCTGTCGTTCCCCTGGACGACCACACGGTCTCTGCTGGATCTCATCATGCCTGGCAGACATTTCAGCATGGATGAAGAAACACCACCTGAAACTGAGCTCCTTGTCATCCCAGCCAGTCCCTCTCTACAACAAGGAATCAGCATCCAGCTGATCCAACCCAACTCAGACCCACTAAATCTGACAGAACCTTGGGCGTCATGATTGGTGACCAGCTGACCTTCAAGGCTCATGTGGCCTCTGTTACTCGGTCGTGTTGATTCGTCCTGTACAGCATCAGGAAGATCAGACCTTTCCTGTCTGAACATGCAGCACAACTCCTGGTCCAGGCTCTCATCATATCATCGACTACTGCAGCTCCTTACTGGCAGGCCTCCTGCATCCACGCTCAGACCTCTGCAGATGATCCAGAACCAGCAGCCCGTCTGGTGTTCAACCAGCCACAAACAGCTCATGGACTGTTCAGATCGATCACTGGCTTCCAGCTGCTTCAGATTAAAACTCTGACACTGAAGCAGAACCACAGAGAGAACATCTCCTCCTACTGAACTCTCTCCTTCAGGTCTACACTCCCTCTGCTCACTAACTGGACCAACCAGAACCTCCTGGTCCAACCACCACAGCAGGCCCAGGTCGGTAGCTGGACCCTCCTCCTCTGTATCCAGGTTGTTTTCCCCTGACCAGATCCTTGCTGGTGTTGTATCTGCTCTCAGATGTACGTCGCTCTGGATAAAAGCGTCTGCTGATGAAACTGTAAAACAATCAAGCATTGATAATCAATAACCACTCATCAACAATCAATCATAAATCAATCAGTTATCAGCAATTAGCAGTAAGTTAATTCAATTCAGTTTTATTTATGCAGTGCAAATTCACAACAAGTCATCTCACAGCTTCACTTAGTAGGTAAAGACTTGACGAGTTGTAAACACAACAGAGAACCAGACGAGCCAAAGCTGCCTCTGGACTCCATCTGAACAGGTCGGCAACGATGGGAAGGAACCAAAAACCCTACTGGGGGGAAATTAAAAAACCTCCGACAGAACCGGGCTCAGGGAAGGAGGCCATCTGCCTCGACTGGTTGGGGTGAGAGTGGGGATGAGGGGATAGCAGATGGAGATCAGCAATACAAACAACAAGTATTAGTCAGTCATAACCAGTGAACCAGTTATCGACATCAATCAATAATAATCAGCAATCAATCTGTTATCAATAGTCAGTCACCAATAATCACCTCCTTCATGAAGGAGGTGCAGGACTTTGTGTTGCAGTGAAGAAAGTTACTTGAGTAGAAGTATGAAAATCAGGGGCATGTACTCTGATTACTGATCCTGCTTTTTTGAACAGGAACTTGAGTCTGGGAGCAAAGGCGGAGCTTGCGTCAGGTAAACATGTGACCTACCTGGACGATGAGACTCGCCTGGAGCTGATCGAGCTTCTCAACGGAACCAGGACGCTGCCTGTGTGAGTGTGGGTGGGGCTATGTATCAGGGGCGGGGCTACATGTAGAGGGCGTCGGAGCAGCTGTTTTGTTCGCCAGACATTTCTGCACTAAAAGACTACAAACATGGCCCCCGGTGCAGCACAGCTGCCTGAGGATACTGTGTAAAGTGTAGTTTTCTGTGTTGTCAGGGTGATACAGGACGTGTTTCCGTGTTTCATGCGAGCTCCCAGCGACTCCAATGCCAAACCCATCGAGCAGCTGTACTCAGGTGTGTTTGCCGTCACCTGCACACGCTCAGAACGCACCACACCATCCACCAATCACTCCTCTCTCCTCCAATCAGACAACCGCTACAAGGACATCCTGCTGGCCTTGGAGCGGTCAACCAATCAGAGCAGAGAGATTCAGGAGTGGTGGATCGTCGACCAACCAACTGTCAGCTTGGTTCTTGGCGGCGGGGCTTCTCTGAGTGACAGACGGGAGGCGGGGCTTCAGCTGGTTGTGTTCAGTGACAAAGTCAGTCCTCCGAGTCTGGGCTTCCTGGCTGGATATGGGTACACAGTACTTCAAATACTGCAGTAACAATTAAATTCAATTTTATTTGTATAGCGCATATTTACAACAACAGTCATCTCATAGCGCTTCACAAAGACAGAAACACCCAACAATCCAAACATCTGGATTCTCTATAAGCTTCAGCAGTCTGCTGGTGGGACGGAACCGAAAACCCCCACAGGGGGGAAAAAACCTCCGACAGAACCAGGCTCAGGGAGGGACGGCCATCTGCCTCCACCGGTTGGGTGGATGTAGGATGAATTCTAACATTTAGTTTACAGTTAAACAAGTTATTAGAAGTTATTGTCCTTTTGTAACAGGAGGCATCACAATACTTCAAATACTGTGGCAACACCAGCAACGTTACCTCAGATATTGCAGTAACACTACTACCACTACTTCAGATCCTGTAGTAACTGTAGTACTCCTCCCCTGCAGGATCATGGGTCTGTATGCGTCGGTGGTTCTGGTCATCGGGAAGTTCGTGCGGGAGTTCTTCAGTGGCATCAGTCACTCCATCATGTTTGAGGAGCTGCCGTGTGTCGACCGCATCCTCAAACTCTGCACCGACATCTTCCTGGTACGCGACACAGACCCGCCCCCCGACACATGACTCCACCCCCTCACAGACTCCTCCTCTGACCCGTTACTCTGCCCCATGGTACACAACTCTGGTATTTAACTCGACCCTCTTAGCTTTGGCTCCACCCCTGAGGTGTGATCCCGCCTCCTCATGTGTGACCCACCCCAGCACGTACTCATGGCTTGTCAGAGCAGCCAGTTTGATCAGTTTTGGTGCTTTAACCCAATTGGTTGTCAAGCTGCAATCTGATTGGCTGTCTTGTGTTCCAGGTGAGGGAGACAGGTGAGCTGGAGCTGGAGGAGGAGCTTTATGCCAAACTGATCTTCCTGTATCGATCTCCAGAGACTCTGATCAAATGGACGCGACGATGATGTCACAGCTGTGGTTCCTCACCTGTTACTCGGAGAACGTGCTGCAGACGTTCCCTTGAGGTTCCTCTGAGACTGAAGACCTGAATGTGACTGGAACGTTACCTGTGCGCTGGGTGACCAATAGGAGCAGCTGGAGACTGCTGACACTCTGATGATAAACTGTGACTAAGCAGAAAGAAGAACGATCAAGTATATATCAGTATTAAGTATTGATTATTGATAAGTGCAGGGACAGTCGCCCTCCTGGGGACTCTGGAATCATTAATTGTGTCACTTTGTGTCGTGGAAATGACTCACTGATGTCCTGAAGCAGAATTAAAGCGGATTCATGTTGAACACTTTGTTTTCCAGGACTTTGTGTACAGACTAGGGATGGACTGATACCTCTTTTTGATTTCCGATACCGATACCATCTCTCCTCCTGAACTTTGGAAATACCTTCTTTGCATGGATACATTTGTTTAAGATGCTTTATCCAAAGCCTCATACTATTAAAGCACAGACTTTGCTTTTCTAAGAAAGGAAACAAGCCAAAAGCA